GACTCATAATTGCATAAAATAATCTAAGTAAATAAATACCATCAAATAAATACACCTGCCTGTAACCTAATAGTCTTTAAAGCTTACATTAGAGGATATTTTATATGGTGAGAAATATAAACAAAACATTAAAAACCTTAACTCGTCTATTTACAGAACTATGGCAATTTCAGAACAAAAGCTTGATTAAACAAGCAGAGAAAAAAAATCCTTATGTTGCCTGTGGTAAATATCTTAAAATATGACATGATCCCGCAAGTATCATTTCCAAGATCTACGTTTACTTTTCTTTACCATAATTCATTACCAGGGATAAAAAATTAAAAAAAAAAAAAATATGGAAGACAGAAACTAAACAAAAGTTCATTAGGTAAATACGGGAAGAGGAAATTTGGCCTACAAAGAACACTAAGTTAAAAATTAACTTGTTTTCCTATGTTTTTTAACACAAATTCCGTGACTGTGTGGTAGATGGTTCATTTGCTGAAAGGAAGATGAAAATGTGAGATGCTTAACAATGGCCAAGGGTTTGGAAGGTTTATGATAGAAAGTGTCTAATGGTTTCTGTTAATGGCTTTCCCAGCACATTTTGCAAGCTAATATTCCAAAGAAAACTGCAATAATTCTAAGGGCTTTGGTATATTCAAGTCTCTGAAATTAAATCATTCAGCACTTGAATTCTTGTGTAAGCACCACTTTTGACACTGTTGCCATATTAAAAAGGACCAGTCACAACAAAGGTAGGAATTTAGGGTGTTCGGTCTTAATTGAGTACCTGGTCTGCATAGGGATAATGTATTAACTAAAGATCAACGTGGAGAAATACGGTGCCTTTTACAACAATTAATTCCCCAAAATACAGGAGAAGGATTATCGGAAAGTGTAACCCTTTTTTCGAACAAAAATAGTCTGCTGCAGTTAAGTCTGCAAGGAGTAATAATTAGCTCTAAATGTAATAAAAATGTGAGCTGTTGGTTACTAACTTGGCAACCTTGTAGACAGAAGTGAAAAGATGGCAATTCTGTTTTCCTTTGTATCCCAAAAGAAAGGCACTTTCAAAAACCTACCAGCAGGAAGACTTAATCTATGCCCAGAATAGAGAAAAGCCAAGTAGACAACTCTTCTCCACTGTTGTTCAACCCAGAGTTCCAACACCTAATTCAGAGGACTTCGGGCTTGATGGATTTCTGTGGCTAAAGATGAAGGGTTCGTTTTTTACACAGCTATCCCTAAACAACGAATGTTGTGCATTACATTCACCCATCATGTAACTCTGCTTGGAGTGGCATTAGGAAACTATAACTGGTGGTATCAGAGAGGATTAGTCATAATTCCAACAGTCTTGATTGCAAGACAACATAATTTTGGCCATGAGTAGGCACTTGATTGGAATAATCTGCATTAGTTTGTTTTATTAAACCCCCAGGAATGCAAAATAGGACTGTATTAATCTAAGAAATATTTTCCTTCCTATGCCCTTTAATAAACAATTCAGTAGATTTGCTTAGGTGAGTTTCCACACTCATGGTAATTCAGGGATTAATTAGATAGTACTTACAGAATCTACTGAAAATGGAAATCATTGATGCATATAAATGATATGTATGAGTTTAACACAGTCTTAAATCCTAAAGAAGACATTATTCAGCACAAAATTAAGCATGGTTAATCATAAGTGAATAAAGAGAGTTAATGAATTTCACAATTCTGTTCACTAAAAGGACTGATCAGATTTACTTCACATTCTTAAACAAATATTATACGTAGGACTCCTTAATTGTTTTCCGACTACTAACTGTCAAAATGTCTGATGAATAAAATAAATTCCTACAGATACAAGTAGCTAAAGTGCCCAAAATGTAAAATATTACTTTTATAATTACAAGAACACATTTGACTAATTTACTTAAGAAAAAACCCCAGATTTTTAAACCTGTTCCATATTAAAGTATTAACCATAAATTAACATTTTAAAAGAATCCGTGAGATCATTTTTCGAAACACAACAACAGAACATTTTTGTCTTGACTGAATTCTCTTGATTCACTGTTATCTGTTCGGGGTTTTTTTAAGTATATAGTAAAGGGTTACTAAAAAGGTATTTAAGCTATAAACAAACCACCAAAAAAGCTTTTTTTTTAAAAAAAAAAAACAAAACTAACACACTTTTTTGATTTTTCTGTTACCCTGAAGAATAACTCACTGCATGTTTGCAAACAAGGTTGGCTGCAGTATTTTACTTGGAGGCTGGCTTATCTGATATTATTTCTCCTCAGAGTACTGTGACCTCATTGGCCAAAATATGGCAACTAACCACATGAGGCAACAGAAAGACTTCTGTGAAGTATATTCATGCTCCGATTCCCTGGTATTAAAGAATGTCTTTATATAACTTGAATATAAACAGTCTATGAAAAATAATATTCTGAATGTAAGTATTGCCTAGAATCACAGTAATTTAATTTCTACTTAAATGAAATTTCATTAATAAAATCCCTAATATTTTGTGCCAAATGACAGAACCTGATAAACATAAATCTTCTTTTCCAGATGGCATATCAGATCTTCCCAGCTGCTGTTGACTGGCAAATTAGTTTTCAAAATCAATATGGCACATGAGTATTTACCCAACTATATGTGAAGAAATCATCCCTTATAAGGGACAATATCATCCATGCAAAACTCTCCTTTATCTCACACAAAAGCATTAAAATGGTGAAAACATATCTAGAAAACATCCAGAACATTCGTTTAACAATATAAAATTGTTGCATTTCACAAGTTGTTTATATTTTTAGAAATAAAAAGGAGGCAACATAACTACAGCAACTACCAATAGCTCAATGGGATTTGCAAAGTACAACCTCACACAGAAGAGCCAGATATTTTATACATGTCTAGCACAAAACAGAAATGAAAAATGTTAATATGCAACATGTTCAGTGGCTCATCCAAAGGCTGATGAAAATTCCCATTTGAGAACTTCCAGCGCAAAGTGGTTTCCAAAGAAGTGAGGGAAGAAAAACACAATTCTCCCTCAGATGTGAAATGGGAGGTATGGAGAAATGGGACATCACCAGTGGCCATGCTTAATTTTTCTCAGGAATATAAACTTTTGAAACATTTCTCTGAATAGGTTCCCTTTAGATGAATTTAGTATAAGTTGTATTGATGAAGACAAACAGATTTCTACAGGCAGTCTAATTTCAGTATTAGCTAGAACATCACTGACAGTTATTAGCAAAATTAGTAAAAGGCTTTCTTATTATGAGTTGCTGCAAACACGTATGATGACTAGAATTATTTTATATTTTCTGTGGCCTATGACATGGGCTGCCTTCAAGCAGAGGGAGCTAAAAGTATCCTCAGGTCCCCTATAGTGTGGTGCGCTCTCAGACTTGAACTTGGTAGGACTACCTTACATGTAAGGAACGGAGGTTACAAGTCTCATAGAACATAATTAAAAAAAAAAGAAAAGGTGGGTTTTTTGCATTACATTAAGATCCCACATTTTGCAGCAGACTTGAAATCTGCCGCAGATAGCTATCCTGGAGCTTCAGATCCTGACACCACCTTCAGATCCAGAAACACACATTGCAAGTTTTGGGGTATTTGCTGAAAACAAAAAACCATCCTACCTACCCTCCCTAACAAAGTATTGCAGGCTTCTTGACCAGCAGCAGGTCCTAGACTCAAGCTTTCAGTTTATTATCTGAATCACAAGACCCAACCTTTTTTCCTTGCAAGTTAAATTCCAAACCTAAATAATGAAGGGGAATTTATATCATAGCCCTTGAGACAAACACGTCTGAACATAAACACAAAAGGATTTACTGAACAACGGAGAGTCCATAAGCAGCTCAACAAGAAGTCTGCAAAGATGCAACATGAGACAAGTCCTTATATACACTTGTACCAGCACTGATCATGTGAGCACTGGCATGGAGAACCTTAACTAAGTGTTCAGTTCAGCCCCCAGTGTCCAAGAGTGGCCCCCGAGCACTTACATACCAGTATTTGCCACAATCTTATTAA